GATCATTGCGATATCGCAGAGATGCAATGTACTCTTGATGATAGCTGCCTGACGGGCCGCTATCCTTTGATTTCGACATCTTTCCAATCCCGAGTATGTAGCAGTGTTATGTTAAATTGGGTCCTTTCTCTTTATTTCTCTTTAACAGGAAGGTTAGTCCTATGCGGTTTGCGCCAGGTTAAGCTTGATATTCACAGACCGGTACCTTCAACTTCGAAGATGTCGGTAGCGCAGGGCAGTCGAAAAGTATTCGTTGCAAAGTCTACACTTTGTGTCTTCGAGGAGCCTCGCTAACTGGTTCAAATGTGTGTTGAAGGAAGAAATGCAAACTCCTCGTCGTCTTTCTTCGTCTTCGCTTTTTGCGCGGTTTCGCGGTGAACCAGGAGCTGGTATTCTGCCGCCTGCAGTCACCGCCTTTCGGATAAAATAAGAACCGATGTCCTGTATTACATAAGCCGGGTCTATCAAAAACGGGCAGGTACTTAGGTGCCTGGGGTCGTTCAAGAGGGAACAATAGAAGGAAGGCCTGGCTGAATTGACCAATTTAATAGGATTAATTCCAAATAAACCATCTAATTTCTACAATATTGCCTAGCATCAATAGAAGAGACCCTCGGTATTACCATTGCCACATACATTTATAAGTCATTACCCTGCTTCCAAGCCGGTCATATTCTAGCCGACCAATCCAGCTTTCATTTGATGCGTCCAGTTTGCCGAAGACACTGGCACCTTTCCATACAACCACTTGTGGATCGAGTTCCCGAGGAGGTGTGCCAACCATGATATGACTCGCAAGGTCGGGATACTTGAGCTGCATCCGTTCCTCAAGGAAAGCATGGAAGCCGGAAACAAGGCTGCCGCCCCCGATCACCAAGATGCCACCAATGAAGTCGTTAAACTTGCGAGGATCACCGCGAGCAGCGTGCGAAATAGAGGTAAATACAGCATCTTCAAGGGGCCATACTGGCAGAACATCATCCCGCATTTCAACCACGGGTATGTTTTGGGAAGTTGGCGGAGCGTTGGGCCCACCGCTGCCTTGAGGCCTGATAGGTGTCGACGTGCCACCTTGGGGGTTTTGATTTGCTGCGGAGTCCGGGGTAGGCGATCCAGCTGCGGAAGATCGTGGAGTCCCGTCAAGATCCTGCACGCGGCCTAAGACATTATGAGTTTGCGTGCGGCTAGGTGTAGCTTGAGGATCTGTTCCATTAATCTGTAAAGCTCCTTCATTACTTGTTCCATTGTTGGTTGTCGCCGGTGGAGGCGAAATAGAGGCTATAACTTCGGCCTGGGCAGTTGAAGTAGGGTCGTTTGGTAGCCTGTCATATAGATCAAAGGAACGCTTAATAAACTTTCTCCGTCCGATCATCTTTTGTGAATTGTCGAAGATTTCCGGCTGGAAAATGCCCATGGGAGCCAGAATGATCTCGTCGTACGCTTTAAATGTGTACTTCCTTGTGTCCCGGCCGGACACGCGAAGATGGAAGTCAAACACCTGTACAGAAACATTCGTCTCATTAAGAGTTGCGACATTCTTCTTGAGTTCCTCCGCCAACAAGAAGTCATATCGCCGGTTCAGGTTGATCTCCTCGTAGGGGAAGTGGTCGTATAGCATCATCTTTATAAACGTTTCCGTAACATCTGATCCGCCGAATTTCAAATTGACACGGGAGTTTTCAACACACATCCCTTCTTCTACACAGCAAATCGACGATTTTTGCGCACCAACGTCGACAACGCAAGCTGCAGTGTACCCAGCGCCGAATGTACCGGCCAAACTCTCCTGAACGAAACACACACGCCCAAAACCGAGCTCACGCATAAGGGTATCCAGTATTTGAGTGACGTATAGCTTTTCGTAAAGGTCGGGTATCACAAAGACACAAGAGTATTGACCCCAGTCTTTGGTTTGTGACAGGTTTAGTTGGGTTTTCATCGCATCTTCCAATATCCGGGCAATGTCCAAGAACAGCAAGTTTATGCTGCTGTAGTCCTTTTCGTTACACCAACCATTCCGTAATGGCCAGTAGAGCTTATATCGGGGTATAGAGAGATCCGGGATCCTTAATGCGGCCTCCCCAACCACATAGGGAGGAGCAAGATTAGGATCGCTGGGAATTTCAGTCCATTCAACCCTCATTGCATCATTGTGCTCAGATATGGTTTCCGGCGGTGTTCGTCGGTTGTAATTTACCACCATCTCCTTGGAATTTGGTAGAGTTCTCCGTTTGTTTTGGCGCATACGTGTTTTCAGGTCAGAGCACATACTGGTATAGAGCGTACCAAACTGAGAAGTCCGTTATCAGCTTCTGCACATACAGTCTCTAATGGGCGCGTCACTCACATCAGGTCCAAACATTTTTTCCGGCTCCATCAGCTCTCCATCATCCATTTTCAGGCGTTTCGGCTTTGGCTCACCCCCGTTTTCTTCAGACTCGTTCATCTCTGATCTATGCGCTATAACCATAGGGATAGTCTTCGGCAAGGCATCGCTTGCAAGGCCGATGCGCAAATTCTGACTTCCAACGTGCACTACGATGGTCTTTGAGCCAGCCACTGCCTCTTCCTCCTCATTGCCTGCCTCTCCCATGGTGGTATCTTGGTCTGCCTCCTCCTCTGGCAGAGGCAGCTCATTCTGCTTTGACATAGCAAGGGCCCTATCCCGTTCCTTAGCTGCCTTTGCCATGCGGTTTCGGTTTTCTTCATTTTGTAACCGGTATGCGAGGAATTGGTCGTCTCGTTTCAAGTAGTCACTGGATAAGATATCAAGATAAAATTAGCCAGAGCGTTCTTGTCAGAGGTCGGCCCGCATAATGGCGAATGTATCTTTCTCGCGATTGCGTGCACTTGGATTCGCTAGCACATACGTATAGTAATTTTTCTGATTGATAGCGACAACCTGCGGCCAGCTGGTCAGGTCCATACTATTATCTGTCCGCTGGAGGCCTGTAATCCCATAATATTGAGCAACATGTCAGTAAAACCAGTCCTAGGAAATTCGTTTCAATGGCTTTAGATGCTGTTCTCACCCTCATCGCGCATCGATCTTGATTTCTTCCCCATGGCTGCGACGACCAGCGCAAACAGATCTATGTATCGGTACGCCTGCGATCTTGTAAATCAGTACCGAACAGCTCCGGGATTTGAACAGATGGCCGTGAGTTGCCGTCGACCTGCTGGACCACAGCTGCTGGTCGTTGTCGCGGCTGTGAGGTTGGGCGTGTTTGTGTCGTTGCTGGTTTGGCGATCGAAGCTTGCTTGCTGTTTCGCAGCTTGGGGG